ATGATTTTATTCAACTAACAATATTGTCCAATCAAGGTAGTCGTTTTGTAATTATTAACAAATATACATTTGTCCCAACTAGAAGTCTCAAGTAAATTGCAGACTTTCGTGAACTAGATATTTATTTATTTGGTCACTATAACCAAATCTTGGTAATTATAACTGAACCTTTTTCTGGGTTTATGTATAGAAGTTTCAATTTGAAAAAAGAAAAATCCGTGAAAAAGCGAGCGTGAGCCTGCGTGATTAAAAAACTAGGCATCGTGAGCATGCGGGAACATGATAGAAAAATATATAACAGAACGTGAGTGTGCGTGAACGTGAGCCAAAAGCACTTAAGCGCCTATCTCTATTCATATAAAGCAGTGGATAAAACTATACGTGCATGTGAAAGACAAATTTATCTGTTTAAAAGAAGGCCACTAATACTATTTCCTGCAAACACACATCGATTTACATCTTTTTGCTCAATTTTTATTTCTCTTCCGACACAGAATTGTTTTCGTACAAAATTATGAAAAAAGCTTTCAATTTCTTACTCGTTCGTTTTTAGGCATGCTATTGTAACGAATTTCGAAAGTTCGAAAATACGATTCGGATTGCAGCATATCCTTTCTACGATTCGTAGCAAAATCCGAATACGAAAGTGTTGCAGAATAGGGTTGATAAGAAAAATTTATTGATTAAACGATACCTAACTAGTTAGCGAGCCTCAGAAGAAATAGGTTTATAACTTTGAACATGACATAGCAGTTTAACGAAAATAGGAATACAAAACACTCTTAAAGTTGCTTTTATTTAAACGAATATGAGCTGGAATCGAGTTCCAGGTGGGTGAGAATAAAATTGACAAAAATTAGTCTTGCAGATGTTAAGTAATTATAGTATTATAGGTATAATCAATTCTGTTAGGCGCGCAGGTTACGGCAAACATAATTTTTGAAACAGAAATAGAAAAATACATTTTTTTTTACCGGGCAACGTGATTGAACACCACATCATTTTTACGAGCAGATTGGGAATTCGGCCTACTGTATATTAATTGGGAGTAACATATTATAGGCAATATTAATTTCATGACGATATTAGCCACATCGTCATGAAATGTCATCCGCGTAATTGTAAAATTGAAAAAATGGACTTAGCAACTTTTCCCTCTAAGCTAGCGATATGTATAAGTTCAAAATGTATGTGTGTGTTGTTTATTTCATACTTTATGCGAATGTTGTGCAAGTGCACCGACAAACCTTATATATGGCAAACAAAATGACAAATTGTAGCCAATAGTTTTGCCTGTGGTCGTGGGAGTATTTGTGTAACAAAACTGGACAAATGTCATATTTATCAACTTTGATAAAAATATCTTTAGACATATTATTTCTTAAGCTATATATCCGAGCTATCAATGGGCAGTCATACAAGGTTACTTGACCTTTGACGTACGTCAAAGAGAACATGGTCTTTTTAACAAATATTTTTTTCTGTGCTTTAAATACCTGCATTGCTTTCTTTCTCTCTTTATTATGATTTTTTTGGACCAATCTTAAAAAAACTACGAGACACAAAAGAAGAAAGTGTGCACTGTAATTCCTAACCAAATTTTCGTTATTTGCCTTTGATGTTACATATATTCGTTTCTATAATTTCAAATGGGGCTCTTTGGGGAATTTATTTTTAGCAAAAATTTTAAAAACAGTAATTTTCTTTACTTGTCGGGCAATATTTTTTTCATAGGGATATACATTGGATCCTTGGCTAAAAACTTTTGTGGTGAAACTGTTCCTTCTTTGCTATTTAAGGTCAAAGAGTAAGCCCTTAAATAGGGATTTCCAGCAGAAATGATAAACATCTGACTATAAAGAGAATCGATGCACAAATAATTAAAAAACTATAGGTCTGACCTTTAATAAGATAAAAATTACGTAGCTATCTGAGATTCAAATGCTTATAAAAAACAGGGTGCTTTTTTAAAAAAATAACAATATTCTGATCCGATTCGGCTGGCAGCCACGACTTTGATAACAGAATTTTGTTCAAAATTTTCATTCCTGGAAAATAATAATTTATTTTCCATATCCACCTATTTAGCTCGCTATAAGCACAAATTTTTCAAACCAGTCGCAGAAGGAAGTATTATAAATAACAGAAACTAAAATCGAAAAACGCTCATGAAGTTACAGATTCCCCAAATTCTGAAACAGCCAATGGAATGAGAATGAAGAATTCTTTTTAAAGAGCTTTAGAAAAACCTGACACATCTGGTTTGGCTTGTAAGCGCTGTTTAAACAACGATCTCGCCCTTATGCTAGATTCTAATTGTTTCTTAAAAATACTTGACATCCGCATTCGCATCCGCATCCGCGGATGTTAGCTGTTAGATATTCGCATTCGCATCCGCGGATGTTAGCTGTTAAATATTCGCATCCGCGGATGTCTAAAATTCCACATTCGCAACATCCCTACTTTGCAGAAATACAGAAGAAACTACTTTTTCTTATATTTTTCATTTATTTGGGATAAGACGTTCTTCCAACAAGCACGAGATATATATAAAACAAGTAAGAAAGTCTAAGTTCGGGCGGAGCCGAACATAAAATACCCGGCGCAAGTATTAAATATATGTTTTTTCACCCTTCCGAAACCTTCCGCTAGATGGTAAGCCGAGGTGTATCAATTTTGAGTAAATTAGCGTCCTTCAATTTCGAAATATTGAAGTTTCAAGCATTTCTTAAATTTACCGTTATATGAGAATCGGCCGTTATTTTAGTCCGATTTCAATAATTTTCAACGTTTTGCTTACACGTGGCAAGTACAATAACCATACCGAGTTTGGTACAAATTGGTAGAACGGTTACCGATATACTTATATGTGATCATAAGTGGGCGGTGCCACGCCCATTTTCCAAAATTTTACCATAAACGTATTTCTTGGTAAAGAATTGTTGCAAGCATCAATTTTGAATAAATTAGCTTCAATATTTAATGATTTATCGAAGATTTTGTATTTCTCTAAATTACCGTTATATGGGATGTGGGCGTGGTTATTGTCCGATTTTAAAAAGTTTCGGCGGTTTTTTATGCTGTACCAAGGCCAACAACTGTGCCAAGTTTGGAAGAAATTGGTGCAGCGGTTACCAAGATATACACATGTAACCATAAGTGGGCGTGGCTACGCCCATTTTCCAAAAATTTATAATATTCTTATTTTTCGTCTAAAACTTATTGTAAATATCAATTTTGAGTGAATTATCTTCAGTAGTTACTAAAATATCGCAGTTTTCGTATTTCTGAAAATTACCGTTATATGGGAAGTAGGCGTGGTTATTGAGCGATTTTAAAAATTTTCGGCCATTTGGTATGTTATGCGAAGGCCAACAACTGTGCCAAGTTTGGAAGAAATTGGTGCAGCGGTTACCAAGATATACACATGTAACCATAAGTGGGCGTGGCTACGCCCATTTTCCAAAAATTTATAATATTCTTATTTTTCGTCTAAAACTTATTGTAAATATCAATTTTGAGTGAATAATCTCCAGTAGTTACTAAAATATCGCAGTTTTCGTATTTCTGAAAATTACCGTTATATGGGAAGTAGGCGTGGTTATTGAGCGATTTTAAAAATTTTCGGCCATTTGGTATGTTGTGCGAAGGCCAACAACTGTGCCAAGTTTGGAAGAAATTGGTGCAGCGGTTACCAAGATATACACATGTAACCATAAGTGGGCGTGGCTACGCCCATTTTCCAAAAATTTATAATATTCTTATTTTTCGTCTAAAAATTATTGTAAATATCAATTTTGAGTGAATTATCTTCAGTAGTTACTAAAATATCGCAGTTTTCGTATTTCTGGAAATTACCGTTATATGGGAAGTGGGCGTGGTTAAAGTCCGATTTCGCCCATTTTCAATACCAACCTACCTTGGATTAAGGGAAACCTACATACCAAATTTCGTTGAGATATCTCAATTTTTGCTCGAGTTATCGTGTACACGGACAGACGGACAGACGGACAGACGGACAGACGGACAGACAGACAGACATGGCTTAATCGATTTCTTTTTTCATCCTGATCATTTATGTATACATTTGTCTATATCTATCTCTATTCGTTTTGGCTGTTACAAACAACCGTTATGTGAACAAAATTAATATACTCTTGTGCACAAGTGCGCTCGAGTATACAAATTATTTGATATGCCATGGACCTGTTGCTAACATATGTAGTATTTATACATATGTATAATGTATATTTATGTATGTATACATGCATATATACTTATATGGATGCGCGCTGCATACAATCCTACTCACGGTTTTTTAATTGAATATATGATTTTTATTGCACTGTTTAGACAAGGTCAAAATTAAATTTTTGCTTTACGGGTTTTCACACTGAATCATACATTAAACCCCAAAATGCCTCAAAATGTTTGGGTAAGTTTTGTCTTACGTATGTTCAGTTGCAGTAACAAAAATTATATTACGGGCCTAAGAGGCGGCACTTCCACTTCTGCTAATTATAAGCAACAGAACACCAATTCTAATAGCGGCTAAACAGCTACGTACCTATGTACACATAAATATGTTTGTATCTATGTATGTACATATGCATATAAATACACATCTTACGTATTTACCATTTAGAATAATGCAAGAATTGATTATACCTCTATTAATATAGGGTTTGGCTAAGAAAATTTAAAATTTTTACATAACTAACATTTTCCGAATTTATGGAGGTGATAAAAGGATTAAGTTTTCTCATTAAAAAATTAAATAATCTAGTTTCAAAAACTTAAAAGCGACTTTTTATTATTAAAATAATAATAATAATAAATGCATGTCTTTCACGTTTTGATAAAAATTCTTAAAATTCGACGCCTAGCACAACAGGTATATTTTTCTTTCATATACAGACACTCGATTAACTTCCCAATTTTCCGAGGAGCCTTATTTGATATTCAATACATTTTTCATCAACCACTGAATTTTAACTTACTGTGTTAAAGTTTGCAACAACAACTGCAATTTTTTATACTCCTTGTTATTTCAATATAGATTCATTCAAATCAGGCTATTTATTTCACAGGCACTCGCTTAAAAATATTCATGAGATTTTTTAAATAGCGACGGCTAGCCCAAATTATATTCGAGAAATATTTATTCAGAAACGGAAACGTACGCCCGTAAATCAACAAACTGCGAAAGACACAAAATTAGAAGAATATTAAGAAAAAAATCTTTTAGCGTACGTGTGAAAACAAAATGGGAGACTTCATAAGCAAAACAGCCGCAAAAATAAGTTCTCTGAACAATTAAATAAGAAGTGTATTTAAACGCGAGACCAGCGAAAAATGATTTTTAAATGATAAATAAGCCAGGGAAAATTTAAAGGAAACGCCAACGCCAGAATACTCATTTACACTTATACATAGATATGTATATATTAGGGTTGTTAATTTTTCAGCTTTTTCCGATCCCGGGATATTCGGGATGTTATTATCACAATTCCGGGATCCCGGGATTAGTCCCGGGATTTGGATATTCATTACTTTTCAACAACTTAATTCGAAAAAATTGCTTCTATATGGTTTGAGAAAATAAATAATAAATAAATGGGTTAGAAACCTACTTTTTTATTTAAAGTTGCGTTTTTATTTTTTCACTGACGTAAGGATTTATTTTAAACGACTTTGTAATTTCAAAGATATGATTGTTTCCAAAAATTATTTAAAAATTCAATACAATGAAGAATAAAAATATGGGTACCAATTGCAAGAGGAAATTTCTTTAGAATTAAAAAAAATATATATATAAAATTTTTTGGATTCACAAGGACGAAGCTGATAAAATTAGAAGGACGAAATTCGAGGATGTCATCGAGTTTATATAAGTCCTTAACATATAATTTTTTCAAAAACAACTAATGCGAAATTTCAAGGATAAAACTTTAAAAGGGCATTTTCAATACTTACCAGTCCTTCTGCACCAAAAACTTGAATCTGTTTAAATTCCACAGGATTTCCTCCTTAATTTGATACACATACTTTTTCTGTAAGCACATCATTAAATCAATTTTGAATTACTGGCGTCAAATTTAGGCATTCATATCAAAATATTAATTATTAAATAAAAAAGAAATATAGCCAATACTGTTCAACAAAAGGAGTTTCTATTATTGCCATCAGTGCAAATTGCAAATCCCGAAAATCCCGGGATTATGTTCCAAGAATCCCGGGATTTTTGGGACCTTAAAAAGGCCGGGATCCCGGAATCCCGGGACTAACATTCCTAGTATGTATGTATATTAGGTCGGGTCAATTTGTATGGGAGATTTTTTGGACTATGCGGATAGGGTATAGGTACAGTCAAGAATGATAGAATATTCTCTCAATCGTGAGGTACAGTGACCAGATTTCTGGCGACGAAAATCGGGACATTTCTAAAACATCGAATTCGAACATACAATTTTGTTTTTAGAATGAAAAGACATGACATCTTTTACAACAGTTTTATTTAAAAAACCAAAGAGAAAACAAGTAATTTTTAAGCAAAAAAACCTCAATTCTCATATAAAAATTTAAGAGTACCGTTAATTTCATTACGATCTAATGGCCGGATCTAAACCAAATTAGTATGGCACCACCTCTCTGGTACCACCTTTCCTTAAAAAAAAGAATTACAGAAATCGGTTAACGCGGTCCAAAGTTATGCGCCAATATGCATAAAAAAATATTCCGACGAATCGATAACTTCCTAACTAAATCTCACAAAATTCAAGTTAGTACCGTTTTATTAAAAACAAACCAATTAACTTAACAAATAATTAACGTCAACTAAAACCTTAAGACAAATGAAGCATAATAGACAGTAATATAGCGAGAGTACCAGTTTGACAAAATAAAACACAACCAAAGATCACAGCGGCCGCTTTGTTGTAGTGATTAGGGACACGATATCGACACAAAAATATAGACTCGATATTCCAAATATCGATACCAAATTCAAAAAATTAAATCTGATTATTGGTCTCATTTTCTAATAAAGAATGAACAATTTTGCACTTTAATAAGTGTTTGCTTATGTAGAGGTAAGTATGTTACTTGACATCACCGAAGGCATGGGTTGAAATCCCGCCACATGCCAACTTAAATAAGATAGTACTCGTTTGTGCTCTTTAAGGCCAAAAATATATTTATATTGCTTTACATTATAAGTTCCAAAGTATAGACATATTTATGGGCGTTTCCAGGGGAAGGTCATGGCACGACATAGATTTGCAAAAAATGGAACAACTAGGTAGCGCTGAATTCAAAATAAAAAATATATTCGACATGTTTTATTTGCGTTAAAAATTATTTTAATAACAATATTAACAAAAAAAGTTTAATTAGAAGTTTTAGTAACGTAACGTCATGTAACATCACGTCGGATACTAAGGCTGAAAAAAAAGCAGGAAAGATTTTTAAATTTGGAACTTGGAAAATTAACTTTAAATATTTCAATGTTAATAAAAAAGGAATTGTACAAATAGTCTTGCCCAATTCCCAGAGTTTTTAAGTGTTGACGTTTTCAATTTATTTTTTAACATTTAACGTCACGCCACGCGAGATTGAAAATGCCCATATGTACTTTTCCTTAAGCACATCAAAAATAATTGAATAAAAGGTAATTATTTTTTTATATAGTGTACAATATTTTGTTAATTACATTAAGTTTTTATTGTAGGTACATTTACGATTCGATACGACCAAGGGTTCTGCTACTCGATTCCAAAAAATATCGTTTGAAAACTATCGAGTAAAAAGTATCGGTATCTAATGGCAAAAATATCGATATGGTATCGTATCCTAACTAAATTCGTGTCTCTAGTAGTGATAAGCAGTGCGCGCTTCTACTCCGCCGGGCCTGCGTTCAAGCCCTGGTCAAAGCAACAAAATATAGAAACAAGTTTTTTTCTTAACAACGGTCGCCTCTCGGCAGGCAATGGCAAACCTCCGAATGTATTTCTTTATAATGTGTATGGCTCAAAAAACTTGGTTGTGGGCCAGAGTTCACGGATACTCCTATTAAAGTAATAAATAAAACCCTGAAAATCGGGACTTAATCGGAACAATTATGAAAAATGTGGACACTTATACGTCCCGACTTTTAAAAAATATTCAATTTTCTCAAAATCGGTACGAATGGTATTCGTAGGTATAGGGGTATTCTACTTGAAGTTCTAAGAGAATTTGCCGAATAAACCGGGGATCTAAAACCAATTTAGAGCCTGCCAAATTGCGAAAATATGTAGCTTTTATTTTACTGTATTGTCTGAATTCTTTTATAAATACATGCACTTGTCTTTTTTATTTAATTATACAGTCGTCAAGCTGCAGTCGAACATACAATGCGTACGATCGTAAAAGGGCAAAGTTCAATTATGTGTGATTTTATTTCTTATAATTATTTACTATTGAAATTTAATTGTATGAAAAAAGAAAATTTTAAGAAAAAGTACAATCAAATTTTTTTCTTTTCAAACGTAAGAAAATGTGAAATGTTGTCATTGTTGCGCCCTCTGGTGGAGGTTTCAAGAAACCTATAAAGGCCAGTATGCAGCTCTCAAGAAAACAAAAACTCCATATAAAATGACGTACCAGAAATGGCTAACAAATTTTCTTTTATAAAATAATGGCAATTTTTTCTTGACCGTTTTCTGGAGAGCTGCATACTGGCCCTAAGTCTAGAAATGGATTCTTCATGCAAAAAAACCCTCGGCCATGGCCGTAGCTCCAGCCCCAACGCCATGACATAGTCAAAAAATATTTGCACGGCCTAATGTATGTACTAGGGATGCCGATCCCGGGATCCCGGTGTTGCTTGCATTAATCCCGGGATCCCGAAAATTTTGAAATATTGAATTGATAGTAAGAATTTGTTTATGAAATTTGAAGAATGATTTTTGTAAAATGCCGTTTTGACTGCAATTAACAAAATGCTTGAAACTGTACTTTTAAATTGCAGTCTGAGCCTTTTTTGAAGAAGATTTCAATGAATTTACTCATAGCGCCGCTAATGTAAACGAAACAGAGAGTTTTAAGGAAAGCTTTTATAATTTTTTAGATCAATCTACTCAAAACTTGCTCAAATGGAAAAACTTAAAATTTGACCGACGTGCTGGTAAAAGAAGTTCAAATATTCTGTAATGGAGGAGATAGGGGTCATTATCTTCAAATGGATTATGTCTACCTTTTGACAGTTCAGCCTAAAAGTGTTGATGACGAAATATGTTTTTCATCAGTAGGTTTTGTATGTAAAAACTGCAGGTCAAGCTTAGAAGACTCCGCTTTGAATGCTTTGCTGCTCGAAAACATTTTAAGTGCAATAATAACAACGCCGGCAAAAAAAGGGGTTTGTGTTTTTAACCAGACCCAACTACCAACATGTATTTCGACTCGCTGAATCCGATACTGAGATCCGTTTGACTCGTACACCCTCAAAATTTCTAGTAAATTGCGAAAAAAAATGGCAAAAAATCCCCCATTCGCCATTTCTTTATAGAGTAGAATAAACATGTTTAGAGAAATTGTTTTTGTATATTTTTGTTTTATGTTTTTTTTTTTTAATCGTCACTTGCCAAAAGTACCTGGTATTATTATTTGTGATGTATACGTTCCTCAATCACATGGTTTTTTAAATACAATTAAAAAAATGTTTTACTTTGAAATTTGTCTGGTTTAATAAATATCGCTCGCGTAGAGTGCAAAGTTGCTAAGTCCCAATTTAAAAATTGTACAGGAGAGGAAAAAACTTCGTATAGCCATTTTCTTCAGTATTTCGTAAAACTTGGAATACATCATTTTGCTTGTTTAAAGCAAAGCAAAACTCCATACGAATCGGAGGGATTCGATATTTATTAAAAGATTTCGAGCTTTTTGGCCTTATCGAATTTTCGGACCTTTTTTTGGCCTTATCAAATTTTCCTTTCATTAAATATAAACGAGAAAACATAAAACAAGGACCTTTACCCTTTTCGAAACGATGCAATTTTAATTTATCTAGCCTCCTATATCAAAATATGATTTTTCATTAAAAGTGAAGCTAGCAACTTTTCACTCTAAGCTAGCGATATATGAGTTTTACAATCAGTTTATCGTAAATTTTAAATAGTTTTATTTAATGGTATGTTTAAATGCTTTCAGATATTGAATTCTTACTCATATTCATTAAATTTATGACTCAATTTGAATCCCGGGATAAATCCCGGCATCCCGGGATTACCTAAAGATATCCCGAAATCCCGGAATCCCAATTTTCCTGATATTTTGGCATCCCTAGTATGTACGTATGTATATATAACAACGAAAGCATATGGGAACAT